AAGGGCAGCAAGTTCTTCGGCCATCGCAAGCTGCCATTCGGGTTGAGTCATGGTAGTCTGATAGGAAGTGCGCTCAGCAATGACAGAGAGACCATACCAATCAGGAGAGTAGCGATCAGGCGGGGGGCGAGGCCGAGCCCGGAGGTTGTGAACCAGGGGATGCGTGAGAAGAGGTGCACCAGAGGTGGAAGGCACGTCAGATGAGACATCCTCAGGACGAGGGAAACGAGTATAGTGGAGAGGGAACGGTGAGAGAGGGCGACGAACTGGGGATGAGGGTGAAGAGGTGGAGGAGAAGGATGGAGAAGGTGGGGTCGGTGGTGAAGGAGAAGGAAGGAGAGATGGCGGAGGAAGAGATGACACAGAAGGCACATAGCAAGGTGTATCAGGAAGGAGAAGGAAAGCGAGATCATCCACAGAGAAACTCGAGGAAGAAGGACGTGGGTAGTAGGAACGAGACTCGTCAAAAGTCACATCACGCGAGATGCACAAGCGACGACCCACAGGATCCCAACATCGATAGCCCTTGTGCTCATCACTATAACCAAGAAAAACAAACTCAACCAACTAAGCAGTCAGTTTGGTGCGTTCTCGGGGGGCAAGAAGAACATAGCACACGCATTCAAACATACGGAGAGCGGAGTAGTCAGGAGAGCGACCAGTGAGACACTCCAGAGGAATACCACCCTGCAAGACAGTCGATGGCTAAATGTTGATGAGATAGGTGGATGCAGAAACAGCCTCAGCCCAAAAATGGGGTGGAAGAGAAGAAGCAATCATCATCGCACGAGCCGTCTCAAGCAAATGGCGATGCTTACGTTCAGCAACGCCATTCTAAGCATGAGCACCAGGACATGAGAACTGGGCAAGAGTACCCTGTTCCGCGAGAAAACCACGCAACAGCTAGGAGATAAACTCTCCAGCGGAGTCAGCACGAAAAGTACGAATGGGCATGGAAAACTGGGTGTGAACCATGGTGACAAATCGTTTGTATATAGAGAGAACCTCACCATGAGATTTCATGGAGTAGAGCCAAGTGTAGCGAGAGAAATCATCAATAAACAGAACATAGTAGCGATGACCACCTTTCGAATCAAAGGGAGCATGACCCCAAACATCAGAATGAACTAAGTCAAAAGGACGCTGAGATACCGACTCACTGGTGGGATAAGGTAACTGGGTCTATTTGCCCAGTATGCAACCATTACAATGTAAAGAAATATCTCCAGATACAGATCCTAAGAGGCCCCGACGGACTAAAGAAGACAAGCGAGAGCCACAGAGGTGACCAAGGCGATGATGCCACTGCTGAAAGGACGCAGACGAAGAGGCAGCGAGAGCATGGGAGCTGGCAGAAGTGGTGGCAGCGGAAGGAACACAAAGCCAGTCGACCTCCTAAAGACCCTCCGACTCACGGCTCCGAGGGCCAGCACCAACCAAAGCCTTGGTCCGACGATCCTGAATAGAGCAAGAGCCGGTATCAAGAATGACACGACAACCAGAATCAGTAAGTTGGGCAGCAGAAAAAAGATTCATGGTAAGGCGAGGAACATGTGAAACACTCAGAACCGGAAGGAGTGGAAAGAATACCACGACTAGCAACAGGGAGAGGTGTGCCATCGGCGGTAAGAACATTAACAGGCGAATCAAGAGGTCGAAGAGAAGACAACACGGAAGAATCAGAAGACATATGAAAAGAAGCTCCAGAATCAAGAACCCACGAAGATTTACTTGACTGTCTAGGTGGCTGCGATGGTGATGAAGGGGATGCAGTCACTGCAGCAGCAGAACCAGTCGACGAGGAGCCGGATGAAGCAAGTAGACGCTTGAGGCGTACAATGTCCTGATCAGTGAGGGACGGAGTCGAGGAAGACACAGGAGTCCCGCTGGAAGGGGAGCGCCTCTAGTCTCGCTTCTTCTGGCGACAATCAGACTCTGGGTGACCTAACCGGGAGCAGTAACCACAGAAGGTGTCATGGCGCGACGTGCCCTTCTCAGCATAAATAGGATGACTGACCCTCCTGAAGGAGTAGGCATGAGCGGTGGAGCGGTGAGGCGAGCAGACGACACAGGAGTTCGGGCGGCCAGCACTGACGGAATCAGAAGCAACCCAGCAGAGCGAAGGCGAGTCTCCTCAGCACGAAGCTCGACAAGTACCTCCGAGATAGGAACACGACCACGAGCAAGCAAGTGAGCACGTTGAGGCTCAAACTCAGACTGGAGACGAGATAAGAACTCATGAACCCGCTGAAACTCCAGATCAGACCGAGTAGTCTAACAGCAACGACATGTTTCACAAACAACTGTCCGAAAAGAGTCAAGCTGGCGCCAGATGGCAGAGCACTGTGAATAGAACTCATCAACAGAAGAATCACCTTGCTGAAGTGCATGCTCCTGATGCACCACAGATAGGTAGAGAGCATCACCAGAGGGCTGATAGCGCTGGCATAGATAAGACCACATCGCTGCAACTGTGCCAAGTCCCATGAACTTCGAAGCAAACTGAGGGAGGACACTCGCAGTGAGAACAACAGCCGCTCGAGCATCATCATTGCACCACTGAGTGTAAGCAGACATCATCCCGATAGACAGAAAGAGCATCAGAATAGGCAGATACTTGTTGATCATAAGCATCAACTGCAGCAGCATCAAGAGTCTTGGCTGCATCCCGATCAGCCTGAGAAGCATCAGCAGCAATCACCGGCGGTACTAGCGGAACAGGCGCCACCGGAGCAACAGGGCACAGCGGACATGGTACCTCGCCAGAAGGAACACCCCACAGCAGAAGGCCGCGCATATGAATACACATGAAACCGGCGAACTCAGCATAGTTGGTGCCATCAAAGATCACCGAGCAGCGAGGAACAGCCACATAACCCGAAGATGACATACTGAGGTATCCTTTTTTTTGTTACTGCCTCCTTTTTTTTGGAGTCAACCGATCTGAATCTGAATCGGGATGGAATAGAGACCCGCTCACCCGAGGCAGGAGTCCTGGATTGGGATCGAGCGGGGGACCGGGCTCGCTCACGGCTGGAGCGCTTGAGGAAGCAGCCCCGAATCAGGAGCGACCAGGAGGCCTGGCTCGCTCGTGGCTGGAGCACGCGAAGCCGCAACTTCAGCGGAACGGGCGGCGGCAGCCAGGGGGGCCGGGAACGGCGCGGGCCGGTCGGACTAGGGGCAACAGCGGCCGAGCGGGAAGGGGGCAGGCCTGGGACGGCGCCGGCTGGACGGAGCAGGGCGCGGCGGTCGGGCGGGGA